TGGGTCGTGTGACCCTTTTTATATAATTATTAAATTATTATTTAAACAGATGCCTATTTAACTGCAAATATCTATACTATATTATGCCTTCTTAATATCTATCTCTCATACTATCATTAGATTCGAATTTAAAAGCTTTTTGCAGTTCTTCTCAGCTCTTTTTGGCAACAATTTTAAAATGCTTGAAGATTAGTGAAATATTTGAGAAAATTTCAAAACAAAATTTGGTAAAAAAAAAGATTTAAAAAATACAAATAAAAATATCTTAATCTTTTGTAGCGCAACCCTAGCCTAGAATCTCAGAGCCTGCTGCAATTCTATGTGGCAAAGTAAAGCAAAGCATTGAAACGAGTGCAAGTTCGCTGCACCGAAAACTCGTTTGCAAGCGCCTTCCGGGCGAGTGTGTGGACTAATGTAAATATGTATAGTTGATTTATATATCAATATGTGTATATATTTGTATCAGGAGCTTAGCGCGTTGGCGAAGGTGTCGGTGCTTGGCGGCACGACTGGGAGAAACCTGCGGCACAAATAAAGTGATTCACGAACAGATTCCGAACGTGTGGCATGTGGCATGGGCATGTGTGGCAAGGGTTGAGAAGCTTGGCCAAAAATAAACAGCGAAACGCCAACGCGCCAAGTGGAGCAGGCCAACAAAACAGACGCCAAGAGAGACAATCTTTAGAATGCGAACGGGGCTTAGTTCATTGCTATTGCTAATGACGGCTGTAACTTGATATAAACATATATATCGGCTATATATGTACGTATGTATACATATACAGATATAGACATGTGCATAGGTGTTGGTGTCTGTCGATTTATTTGTTCGCTCGCTCAACAAAGACTCTAATAATAATCTGTGTGGCCAATCAAGCAAAATATGCGCGAGATCAGTCAACAACAACAACAACAACAGCAACAACAACAATAGTTGCAACCACACCAAATCTTAGCCAATGAAAGTGAAACCGAGCCCCGAGTCTCGATTCTAGCCGGCATAGCCGAGAGAGCCAAGACTCTGCTCTGCCGCTCGTTCGGGCCTATAAAAGCTAGTTGACGGCTGTGTTTGTCCCACAGTGCAGCGCTGACCACAAGTCCAATTGGAAGTTTAATTATATTCAATTTTATAGTCCAATTGGCAACAAGGATTACTACTACCTACCCTCAACATGTTCTTCAAGCTGGTAAGTTAAAGTTGGCCGGAATTGCTCAACAGTGTTACAGCTGCTCTGATGCTCCTTTGCAGCTCTTCGTCTCCTGCCTGGTTGTGGCGTTGGCCAAGCCACAGCTTCAGCCCGCTGCCCAGTATCCGGCTGGTGTCAATCCACAGGACTGCCCCAATTTCCCGCTCTGTGATAATGCGCGCCTGCACAATCCCCAGTCGCAGTGGCAGCAACCGCAGCCCCAGTGGCAGCCACAGCCTCAGCCCCAATGGCAGCCACAGCCCCAGCCCCAATGGCAGCCACAGCCCCAGTGGCAGCAGCCGCAACCTCAGTGGCAGCCACAGCCCAGCTGGAACCCTGCACCCGCACCAGCGCCCGGCGGTGGAGACAAATACCCAGCTGGCATCAATCCACAAACCTGCCCCAACTATCCCTACTGCGATGTGAATGCCGGCCATGCCGCAGCGCCTGTTGCCGCACCACCATTGCCCGGCTGGACGGAGCGTCTCTATCCCGCTGGCGTGTCGCCACAGCAGTGCCCCAACTTCCCCTACTGCCACTAAGAGCAGCAACCGCATCTTTACCGCCTCTACATACTCTCTTCCTCTCTATAACTGCGCGATCCTCTCCTCATTTAGCTTCCTTCTAGTTCTCAACTTTTGAAATGCTTGTTCTTGTTGGCATCAAATAAAAAACTGAAAACAAAACATGTTGGTCACATAAAAAACTAAAGTGTACTCATTTTATTATTGGAATATACATATACTCGTATTTAAGTGAACTCTCTTTCGCAGCATTCTGTTAAGTCCAATCGGATATTCAACAGAACTTTTGTGGCTATCTAAAATTCTATTAACATGACCCGAAAACGGATTTCAGGGGTCTTTTTGTTGAGCTAAAAATATGATCTAAATATAAGTATACGTATATAGAAAACAATTCTTAAATAAAATATATTTTCTAAATATAGGTAGATGTATAAAGAAAAGACTTCTCATAAAATTATAAATATTA